CTGTCTGACAATGAAAATCCATTGTATTGTAAAATTCGTTATATCAAAATTCATTGTAGAAAGAGTTGACTGTATTTCTATTTAAAAAGATCAGGACCAAATAAAATGTGTTTTAAGAAAGGGAGTGCTTATATCGGGGGTGACTATAGAGGGAGACGACTGTATATATTTTATAATAATTTTATACTTTAAATAAATAGAATTAAACTAACATTATTTATAATTAGAAGGATTTTTAAAAAAAATTAAAAAAATGAAAAATTAGATATGCTAAACTACTTAGCATATAATTCTATCTTAAATATATTCAATTTTATTAAGATAAAAATTTGAATTAGTATAAATTCATATATTATATATTGATTTAGATCATCCTTTTACATAATAGATAAAAATTTTTCAAAAATCAACAATTCCTTAATATTGAATTGTATATTATTTTTTCTTATAAAAAATATTATTAGATATTATATAGGTATTTTATTTAAAATAAAATGAGTTTCATTTATTATTTCAATAATATTTTAAAATTTACAATTTTATAAAAATTTAGTTTTCTTAATATGTAGTAATTGTAAAATAACTATATAGTAAATATATAGTTACTATCTTACTTAGTAATTAATCACAGCTTAATAGATACTATGCAATTACTGCATAATAAGAAAACAAAGTTTCTATAAAGAATATTTTAAAATTCTATATGAATAACTATTCTAATATTATTTTTAGATTATTGAACAAATTCTGATATTTTTATTTCTTATAACTTTATTATAGTACTTTTTAATATTTTAAATCTAAAATAAATATTTATAATATTATCTTTAGAACTAATATATCAAAGAAATATTACTAATTGAAAATTAACTAATGCTTATAATTTTTGTTCCTTGATTTTAAAATATTACATCATTCTATAAAATTTATAAAACTGCTACTTTTCTATTTATAAAGTTTTTTATAATATATGTTATCATAAAGGGTAATATTTTATATCATTAATATTTAAATTTAATGATATTATATATTTAAGAAATAAAAATAATCAGCAAGTGATCAGATATTTTTTGAAGGGAAGTATAAATATCATTATTTATTATATATATTTAATGAGTAAAATGTATTTCATACTTTGCTTATAATGAATGCTAAGAAATATTTCAGTTTTTTCAAGATTTAAAAGTTAATTTAGATTTATTATACTATAAATAAATTTAAGAAATTATATTCTTATTATCTTATATAATTCAATATTATCCTTTTGGATTAAATAAATATAAAGTAATATTAGTTGTAGATACTAAGATGAAAATATTATTCAAAACTGCATATGAAATCAAACAAAATTTTTTAAAAAGAAGAACTGAATATTATATATAATATTATTATATATTAAATTTAAAGATAATTTTAAAATTAATATATAAGCTATTGATTATTAATCTATAAATAATCATTAAGATGTATATTTATAATTTATAATAGAAAATTTAGAAATTAAACTAAAATATATTAGTATAATAGTCTATATTTATTCACTTTAAAACTTATAATTATTATAAATAAATAGTATAAGTAGTATAGAATTTAGGTAAAAAATGAATATTTTTGAAAACAGGTGAAGTTAATGACTATTATAAATTTGTACTATACTTAAATTTATAATAAATTTTAACCTTTACTATCAATAAAATAATATATTTAGATTAGTAAAGAAATTAAGATAATAATAATATTATTTTAGCTATAAAGAATATTGCTAATATTTTAGTTATTTACATAGAACTAAATTACATTAAAGGTAAGAACTAAGTTCTAAATTAACTAAAAAAAAGAAAATAAAATAATTAGTAATAAATAAATAATTTATTAGTAGAAAACAAAAAAGAAGAAATAAAAGCTATAACTATATCTGATATATTTAATAGTTTGAGTAAATCTAGTTGATTAAAGTAACTATATAAAAGTAGAAGCTATATCAAATCTTAGAAATTGAATATTATTTTTTCTACTTAGATTCAAATTTTATAAAAGGTGAAATTAATCAGCTAACATTATAAATATCAGAATTAACAAAGTCAAAATCTTTATAGAAATACCTGTTTTATATATATTAGGTAAAGTAGTATATTTATTGAATATATTGAATTATTTATACCAAATATTATTAATAGTAATACTTGTTGAACCTAATTTTTTTTAGAAATTAGTTATTTACTAGTAATATAATTATTAGATTTTAAAATATTATTACATCTATTATAATTTCTTATATATAGTATTTATCTTTATATTCATATAATTATATATTTCTAATATTATATTGACATATTAGGAGTTTATTCAATATGATAACTGTTACAAAAACTAACAAATTAGTTGTAAAATTAAGAAATTGATTATGAAAATCAGAATAAGAATAGAAATTTTAGATAAAGAAACTTTAGAAAATAAAGGTAATTACATATATTTATAATATTTTGATTTATAATAAATTTCTAAATTTTTTAGGATTACATCTGAGAAATCAGTGTATCTCAATAAAGAATACAATATAAATTAAATTGAATATATTTTTGATTCAAATATATATATAGAACCAAATATTTTATATATTACAGACTTTTAGACAAAGACTGAATTTCTATTAGTGAGTGGTTGAGTGAAAAAGAAATTCAAAAGTATGGAAAAAAGGATAGTAAAAAATGCATTAAAAAGGAATTGTATTATTTTAGAAGAATTTTTTGGTCAAAAATATTGAGAAAATGAAAATGTAAACATACTACAAATTAAACTTTATAATTTATGAAAATATTGTTGAAAAACCGAATGAACTATTATGCAATCATCATGTTAAACTAATGGTTAAATTTGGATGGGTAACATTATACTATAGGAGTATTTTATATTTGGTGGAGTTGATAATATATACCAAATTATGGACATATAAATGGTGATATATATTATCAAATTTTTAAAGGAAGACTTATTAAGAACCATCAAATGGCATAGAATGGATAAGAAAAACATTATTTTTCAACAGGATAATGATCCTAAACATATAACACATCTCATAAAGTAATAGTTTAAAGATAATAAGGTTAAAGTTCTTGATTGGCCAGCATAGTCACTGACTTAAATCCAATAGAACATCTTTGGAATGAAATGGATCATTGTCTGAGACAGCTTGAAACACCTGTTAGAACAGGATCAGTTATAGATGCAATTCAAAAGATTTGGGTTGAATTGGGATCCATTGTATGTAAAAAATTGGTTGATACTATGCCTACTTGTATAAATGATATAATTAGAGCTAACAATTGTTTTATTATAATTGAAATAATAAAAAAATATTTTATTTAATAAATATTTTAATAAATTCAATAAAAAGAAAAGCATCGCTTAAAAATTTTTTTTATCACTGCGCAACGATTTTTATACCACTACTGTAAATTAATAAATAAAGTTTGTAACACTGCGCGCGCAATTTTAAGATTTGTGATATTTTTTGAGCGCCATTGTAATACTAAAAAATGGTGTGTTTAAATGATTGTCAAAAATTACGTCACCTTTGCCTAAATAGTAAAATTACACGGAAAAATTCGGTCAATGAATAATCATCGAATGACAAAAAACCAAAAACGAAGAAAATTGTTCACGATGCGAAATAATGCATTTTCGAGTAAATTTTCGAATAAAGGAAAAGATTTTGCCAAAAGGGATTCTTCAATTAGTATTATGAAAAGTTTAATTGATTTGTTCAGTTGCTGAGAGATTAGAGTTCGCGCTTTCACTTATTTGAAACCTTCTTTGTACATATTTTCTTAAAAGAATTTTGTGATTTTTGATCCCTATTAATTTGATAACGTCTTTGTAATTCTGTTTTCTCATCCTCTGATAGCCGTTTCCATTTTTCCGATACCAATTTGCTGAACCTGACCATTGTCATATTGTATGGTTTATCTCTCATCATTTCTTTACGATATAAGATAAACATATTCGGTTCTCGCTTTCTATTCTTCTTTTCTGAACCTTTTGATGTTTCAGGTTCAAAAAAATGGAAACTTATCCTATTATTGCCCATTATTTAAGGATTATATTAATTTGGTGGGTTCTTGATAAAATTGAGGGACATACACATCTTATATTTATTAGAATAAACTGGAGAATATGATTTTATAGTCCGAACTTGTGATATTCAAAGTATCATGCGATTGCATCATGCGATATGGTTTTTCTTCAATAAAATCAATTTAGTTAGTGTTGTAAATTTTAATTGAGATTTTTCCGTTTTTATGTCATTTATAGAAACAAGTCCAAGTCATACGCTACGCCCAAATGATGTTAGTCTGCATATCTTTATTCGTTCGATATAGAAAGAACAAATAGGATAATAATTTAGGAACTTCGTTGTTCAAGATTGCATATCAAAGGATGATTATCAGATTCTTAATATCTTTTGACTAGATCTTATTGCATTTTTATCTAATAGCTTCAAAAAATGAATTCATTATTTCGATGAAAATTTTACAGAGCCCATAAAAAGAAAAAAAAAAAGTGCGGTAGGCGTAAAAAAAATTGTTTGATCATCTGAAAACCATCCGGAGAAATGTGTGCCCAAACCCGAAACATGAGTTTTTGCAGGTTTCTAGATGGGTTTCAGATATTTTTACGGTTGACGTTTTCTGGATGTTCTTTTCATAGTTTGAATTAACTTCTACAATTTTTAAGGAAGGGATTTAACAATGCTGAACTCATGATTGTCCAATGATATTTATTTTTAAATTTTATTTTATTATTTGTTAAAATAAAATAAAATAAAATAAACTTTTGAGTTTTAATTGTTTCGGTCAATTTATTGTTCAACTTTCACGTTTAAAATTTGGTAGAGATTTGCAACAATGGTTTTTAAAGTCCTTTTTTTTTCATTTGAGATCATACATCATTATAAACCATTTTTAGAAGGTCTATTTGGATACCTTTAATTAGGACCATTCAAGTTGTTAAAATATATATAAATATTTTATATTATGGGTATCCGGACGTTTCGCCGAATCCGTTTCGCCGAAACCCACTTTGCCGAAGCTAATTCAACGAAAGGACTCTTCGCCGAACGACCACTTCGCCGAATGGACTTTTCACCGAAAGACGTTTTCGCCGAAAGGACGCTTCGCCGAAATGCCGTTTTTCTGGATGACGTTTTGCCGAATCCTTTTTACCGAACGGACACATCGCCGAATCCGTTTCACTGAAAGGACATTTCGCCGAAAATGACTACTGCGTAACATTTGTTTAACTTATCATTTTTAGGTTCTACATTATAAAGTAAGTTTTTAATAATTTCGTTGGAAATAATAAAAAAAGTTCAATAAATCTGGCAATTGCTAACAACCAACAGCGAATTATTTTCGTTTTCGGCGAAATGTCTTTTCGGTGAAACGGATTCAGTGAATTGTCCATTCGGCGAAATGGACATTCGGCGAAGTGGCCGTTCGGCAAAATGTCCTTTCGGTGAATTGGCTTCGGCAAAAGGGGTTTCGGCGGAACGGGTTTCGGCGAAACGTACCGTAACCTATATTATGTAGTATATCCTACTTTATATCGGCTAAAATAATCTTTTACAATTAAAAGTATAATACAATGTTGGTTATGTAATATATTTGAAAAAAATATAGCATTTAAAAAGAACACAAAAGTAATAGTAAAACTATTTACAGTCAACTCCCTCTCTAATTGCACATATTTTCTCTCTAAATGCACGCACTCGATCGGTCCCAAGTATATAGAAATTATATAAAAAATTTTCTCTTTAAATGCACACCCTCTTTAAATGCACACTTTTTAAAATTTCATTATGGTCCCAAGGGGGTGCATTTAGAGAGGTGACTGTACTTGAAAATAATATATTTTAAATTAAATTTACTAGTTCGAAATAATTTTGATGCATCGAAATTTAAATAACTTGCGATATAATAACTAAAAAAATTCCATTTATACTCTTTAAATTTTATTAAATTCAAACCAAAATTTACAATATGTTTATTAAATGCATCTTTTAAATCTTTGCCAACATTAAATGCACTTTCAAAATCAACATTTTTAAACTAATGCCCATTCATAATAATCATAAGTTGTGTATTTTATTTTAATAAGATTCTGTTAAGAAAATATTCTTTCAACATTTACAATGAAAATGACAAATTTACCACATCGTTTAAATTTGGATAAAAAGTTAAAAATTTTAAAGGAGCAACTTGCTTTGTTTCAGCATTGCTTTACAAATCTGTCTATGATACATATAAGTAAAGAATTTTAAAGTTATGAAAATTTATAAAAATTTATTTGGATACAGCTTTTAATTAAAGTAAAAAATGGTAATATTTATATAAGAGTATGTGCAGAGCTTTAGTTTTCCATTCAGAAGAATTCTTATTAGTTCAGAGCGAAGCGAAAGACTATATATGTTTTAGAACTGTGGTTACACATATATATATTTGTCTGTCTGCTCAAAATTTAAGTCGATACCTTTCATTAGACTTATACTCTGGACTTAACAATAGTTTCTGAAACCATTTCCATATAAGTATTATTAGGTTTATTGTATTGATTTGCATTTATTTATTTAATTTATTTGGTGTAAAAAAAAGCAGATTCAGAAAATCTTTTTTGAATAATTAGAGCAATCACAAACCAACTGTAATACATGTAATGGTAGATTACGTGTGGAGATAAACACCTCTTACTTGTGTAAGGACCCCTGAATTTGAAGATGTGAGATAATATTCATTATAAACCTATCAGTGAAGGCTAACAAGTATTACAACAAGTAAAAGATTTAAAAGAAAAAAGATGCATCTAAAATAAAATAATGTTTAATATTAAGATCTCTAATATGATAAGTTTGATTTTAAAGGAATGTTCAAAAGCATCAATATAATAGAAATGAAATTCAATCTTTTAAAAATATCATAATATAAAGAATACAATTGCAAATATTAGATAAGAAGTAATTTAAATTAACTGGAAATTCTTTAATGATATTGATGAGATTTTAAAAGATAATTCAAGTATAATAGCATCTATTACAAGTGATTTAATAAATAAAATTAAATGTAAAATAAAGAATGCTAAAGATCAAGAAGAAGAAGAGATAAAAATTTATTTATTTTTTTTTATTTTTTTTTATTGCTCATTTAACTAATAAATTATTATCTATAATTTAGAATAATATCAAAAAAAGAAAAAGTGTATATACTAAAGGAAAATTAAATATAAAAGAATTTTAGTTTCTAATTAAGAAATAAACTGAATCTATCACAGAAATTATGAAAGATCAATATATTCATTCTTCTAAAATGCAGCAAAAACAACATGAAGAACAAATAGATATTTTTAAACAGTTTTTAATAAAATTTTAATAAAATATAATTAATTAATATATGTGATAATAGGATAAGAAATTGTAATTATTCAAGCTATTAATAATTTTTTTTAATATGCATTAATTTTATTTTATAATTTAATGTGAAAATACATAATAAGTAATAATAATTTTATTGTATAATTAGAAGATTAACTAAAAGCTTTTTTTTTGAATACCTGCTGTTTCTCCTCTTCCATTATTTACTGTTTCATATTCATCAATATCTATATCTTCTATTTCACTATTTATATCATCTTCTCAAGGTAATATATCTCCTATATCAATATAGAAATTATATAAAATACATCAAGCATGTATTATTTTAGTAATTTGTTCAATTTTAGTACAATAAATTTCTTTTAATCAAATTCTTTACCATTTATTTAAATGTTCAAATGCATACTCAACTATTATTCTTATTGAAGAAAGAATTTTATTAAGATATTATTCTTGATTGGTTAGCATATAATAATCAGAAAATGCTTTAATTAAACATATTTAAAGAAAATGTACTGTATTAGTAATAATATAAGTTTCACCTGATACTTATTATTTAGGATGCAAAATATTTTATAATAAAGTTAAGTGATAAAATACTTAAGCGTTATGTACAATTATAATATATAATAAAAATTATGTAAATATTATAATAAATAAATAAATAATTATTATTTATTAGTATTAACCTACTTCTCTAACATATATATAAGTAAAATATATTTGATGATTAACAATTTCAAGAAGATTAATGAAATAAAAATTTTTATAATTGACATAACATGCATCATTCTTAGAAGATACATAAATAAATATGTATAACCTATCTATTGCACTAATTACATTAAGCAGTTTATAATTTCCTAGACTAATTTCTTTATGCTTAAATTCTTATATTACTTTTGCTAATTGCGATCCTTATGATCATCTAATTTGTTTATTTTTCAAATCTAATAATGCCTCTAAAAATCAATCAGTAAAATAACTTATAGATTCTTGACTAACTCTAAGTATTTATTATAATATTCTTATTATTGACCTATTTGCTAGTCATCATAATACAATTATAATTTATTTTCATATAAGTGTTATAATAGAAGCATCTAAAACAAAGGCTGAATGGATTTTTAATCAATTTACAATAGTGTAAAAAGTAATATAAATTATATATAAATGTCTGATAAAAGAATTATAACATTCTTTTATCTACTAAATTTGAAAAAATATCTGTTTAAAACCCATCAGTTTTAGATCTTAGTTGATGTTATATTTTTATATTAGGTAGAAGAAAAATAAGTAGAATAGTTACATTCAATGTGAAATAATTGAAAGCTAAATAATAATAAGCATTGTTTATTCTTTGCATTTGAATATTGTAACATTTTTTATTTTATATTAGAGTTTGTAATATAAAGAGTAGAATAATTATTTGCTGACAATGGTTTTAAATATCTATAATATAATAATATAAAGTAAAATAAAAAGTAAAAAAGTATTCTTGAGTGATCTTTTTAGTTACTCTATTAATAGCAAATTTTAGCTAATCATTATAATTCTATGAAAAAAAAGATGAGTCGTATCTTCAAGCTTTGTTGATTTAAATGATCATCACACTTAATTTTTTAAGCCAATCAAATTATTTAATATTCATTAAGGGAGGTATTTGAGAATAGCTATAATCTAATCTTTTTGATTGCAGATGTTACTAAGGCTAAACTAAT